AGGAATTTAAATTGTTGAAGAGTCTCCCTTAAACATAAGTCAGTTTATTGAAATTTTAAATTCCGATTTTTTAATGAATTGTGATTTAGATGACTCCTTGAAAATTTCCATTTCAGGATATGCAGTTCATTCTGCTCGTAAAAAGATAACTTGCAACAATTGTGTTTCGCTCATAATAAACAATAAAGGCTCTTGCGTTGGAGATATTGCAGCCATATTGCTAGTTATCAAATCTGCAATGGTTAGTGGTGTTCATCAACAGGGTTTCGCTTCGTAACGCCTGGATTTCATTATAAGTTTGGACGTAAAAGGTGGGACACATGGACAATTCTGTGACATTTCTCTTAATTTGATTAGAACAGTAATATTTGTGGTTATTTACGACAGCACAATAGCTTTACCATAAGGTAAGGGTTTCATATTTGACCATGAAGACAGAGAGTTTTAAAAGGATAGTATTTTCTTTTATTAAGGGATGGATTTTGTTTAATTTGAATTGAATAGGTTTTACAATAGGGAAGCTGATAATACACAACACAGTATCATTTGACAAAATAATGGTTTGTTTGTTAAACTTTAATTGATTTAACGGTTCTTCTTCATCCGTAGACAGTAGTTGACTTTTTGAGTAAATTTCTTGAAGACGTTTAATCATTTCGTTAATTTGGATATTAGAAATGGTTTCAAAATTTGGAATGTTTTCGCGGGTGAAAGTGATTGATCTTTCCAAAAGTTGTAAATAGTTCAAGAGATTACTTGCAATTTGTGTCAAATGTAACACATTTATTTCTTTTTTGGTAGCCTACTTGTAGCAGCATTAAACGCATTAAATGACTAACTATAATTTTCTTGAACCGTATTAATTAAATTTACATAATCATTAGAGATATGATGGGCTAATGACAAATGCAGGTTTTACTTTTCAATTGTTTTCTTTTGATTTTCAAAAAATTTATACATGTTCGATTTTAATTCTACGTACTGGTCTTCATCTACTGTCCCAAACAGGAAATTAATTGCATTTCCTACTCCGTTTATTAGTCCGCGAGCTTTCTATGGATTTTGAATTTATGAAGGGTGTCATTAATGTTAGACAATACAGTTTCTAAAGTGTAAAATATGTCAGATCTGTGTTGAAGTTTCAATACGGCGCTTCTTGTTATTAATTCGGTACAGGCTTCTCGTGCTAAGGTAAGATTAATGGAATAAGCAAAGTTGTGGTAATGGGCAAATACGAGGGTATTTCCAACATTTTCGGATACATAGGTAATGTTACTGTCTAATTTTGTAACGTCAGTTGTCCGGCTTGTGCCAGGCTGAGGAGAAGGGTGATCAGGAATGTCTTCGTGATCCTGCAACAAAATGTATTTTCTTACCATTCTAATATTACGAAGTGGTATTTTTCTAATTTTTGTTTGGCCTGCCAATATTCCTTCAACTCTGTCATTATTTTGGTCGATTTTGGTAGTTCTTTGAAATTTTGGGGCCATTTTGGATTTGTCCGAAGTTTTGATGTAAATTTCTCTTGGTAATTCAGGAATGGGTTCACTTTGTTGAATTTTGTCTAACGCGCTTTGGTTTCTATCTAAATTTCGGTCTTTAACTTTTTCATACAATACGGATAGTTCTTTAATTCTATTGTTTATGTAATTGCTGGGGTTGTTAAACTCTGGGAGTTCCAAGTCCGTTATGTCTTTATAGGGTCCATGAATTATTTCAAAAGGTCTAAATTTGGTAGTAGATTGAATTTAATTGTTGTACATAAAAATAAATTGTATCATTGAATTTGGAATAGTATCATCAGGGTTGGTTTGTTTCAAAATTGTTAATTTTTCTTTTAGTATGCCGTGAATTCTTTCAAGCGGGCTGATAGTAGTTGGAATGCCCGTGCTTGCGAAATGTAACTCGATGTGGTAGAGTTCACAAAAATCTTTAAAATTCGGTTCCCGTGTCAACTAATATTTTTCCTGGGAGATTATGATGGTTAATGAAATGTCTTACTTTATTAACAATGGTAATTCCGTTTTTGTCTGTTATGTGATAAGCTTGCGCATATTTACTGAAATGGTCAAAAAATGTCGAAAATGTGTTGTTTTTAATCGTAAACAAATCCATCATAATGATTTCAAAGGGTTTTGATGTTACTATGGGTCCTTTATAGGATGACTTGTAAGGATTTCGTTCATATTTTGATTTTAAACATACGTCGCATTTATTGATGTAAAATGTAATTAATTTCTTTAAATTTGGATAATAAAATTTTGTTCTGAAATGGGAATAGATCTCTTCAATGCCATTATGGTTACTATCATAATTTGAAATTAGTTCTAGGGCTCTTTCTCTATTATAGGGTGTTAAATCAAGACGGGTTTTTGTGAAGGTAACTTTATTGTTTTGTCCACATTATACTTCATGTAATGTTTGAAATATAGAGTGTTAGAAAGCGTCGTTGATTTTGTTGTAACAATGTAATCCTACTTGAACAGGTACTTTAAAGGATGTGTTTGTTAATTGATGTTTAAGCCAAAATAGGGTTTGCTCGTCTTCTAAAGTAACGTTGATTCTAAATCTACTGTTTAATAATGTTTTTGTGGAAAGTTTTCGTTTTCCAAATTTAAACGTGAATTTAATAGTGGGTATAGGGTCTTCATGGTTAGAGTGTACAGTGACTAAATCGTTATTGTCATTGTTGGGTTCATTGTCATTAATGGGTTCAACTAATTCGGCTAATTGGGTTAAAAGTTCATCAGCTTCTTCAGTGGATAAGAAGTCTAAGTCTTGATCTGAACAGGGGTTGGCGAATAGTGAGTCTATGTCGAACTCGTCGTCTTCTTCAAGGGCATTTATTTTCAAGCGTAAGAGTGCGTCTGCTACGATGGGGTGTCCTTCATGGGAAATAACTGAACATATCGCTTTATCACTAGCGTCAGTGGTGATAGAAAAATGTTTATTAAAATCTGAATATACCAAAACTGGAGCGTTTGTAATTAATCTTTAATATTGAAGTATTTTTCTTCAAACAACGCGTGAGGGGAATGACAAATTTGGAATAATTTTTTATAAATTTATGGTAATAGCCGTTCTAGCTTAAAAATGATTTAAGTTCTTTTACAGTTTTTGGTACGGGAAATTTGTTGAAAGAAGTAATTTTGTCGGGATTTGGTTTAATTCCTTCAATAGTAATTACGTGTCCTAAAAATGGAACTTCTTTTCTCAAAAGTTCTGATTTGTCTAAAGATACTTTTAAATTCACGTCTTTTAATCTTTGAAAAACTTGTTTTAAATTTATTATATGTTCATGTAGTGATTTTGAAATGATTACAATGTCGTCCATGTAAACGAAAGCAAATTTGTACAAGAAGTCACGTAGTACAGTGTCCATCATCCGTTGAAATGTAACGGGTGCGTTTTTGAGTCCAAACGGCATACGTACATATTCGTAATGACCGTTGTCAATGGAAAAAACAGTTTTTTCTGTATTGTCTTTGTGGAGAAAAATTTGTAGGAAGCCGGAAGTATAATCTAGAGTAGAGTAATAGGAACATTTTCCTAAGGAGTCTAAAGCGTCTTCAATTCGCAAAAGTCAATAACCATGCGCCATTTCTTTTTTCCTGATGCATCCATATTTTTTGGAACTCAAACAGGGGAAGCGTAAGGAGAAACAGAAGGTTTAATTACACCGTCATTGAGTAATTTTTGGACTTGATGTTGAATTTCACCTTTAAGTTTTTTGTGGGTAACGAAAATTTTTTTTGTAAACAGGCGAATCGTCAGTTATCCTGATGTGATGTGTTACTTGTGCAGTCGCAGTTAATTTCTGTTGATCGTCGCTGAAAATTGAATTAAATTCTTTGTAGAGTTTTGTAATTTTATTTTTCTCTTCACTATTCATATGATCTAATCTATGTTGTTTAATTACGTTGCAATTTAAATTGTCATTAGTCGGGGCTTTGTCTGAATAAATATATTTATCAAGGGTATCTACATCCTTATGCGAATATGGTGATGTGAATATTATTGAGACAATGCACATCAGCAAAACCGTTATCTATATTGTAGATACCTGGTACAATTTGTTCATGGCCAAGTATAACACAAGATCCTTTGTGTAAATTGACCGGGATTTTGCAAGTGATATTTGTTAAAATTTTATCTCTAGTCTCGTGAAATTGTATCTGTGAGTGTTCAGTAGTCAAAGTATTGTCGGAATAATTTGTAATTGCATTCATTTTAGTCAAGTCTGAGCAATTATGACTAATTAATGCGTCGAAAGTTGTACCTATGGAAATCAAAAACTGAAAATTCAATATATGCTGGTTCATCAAATTCGTGTAACAGAGAAATGTATAATTTGTGTTGTCCTTTGGTCTGTTCGTGGGCCGTTTTAACTTTAAAAGTCAAAGAAGAATTTATGATAGAGTCTGAAGTTCCGCTATCTATCAAACTTTTGCAGTCATATTCGTTTGAATAAATGTATGGTAGTCTGGGTGTTATAACTAAAGCATTGTTGATTGCTTTTAAGTCTATGTAATTTTGTCTGTTGAGGCCTGTGTACGAAAATTTTCATTTTCATTTTCGTCGATGGTACTTTCATCTAATTGCGAGTCAGTCAAATCGTCAGTGAAACTATCAGTGTTGTGTATTGATCTTAAGGTTGCAAGTTGGCAACAGAGCCATCTGGCTGAGTGAATCGGGAATAGTCAGTCTTTGTCCGATCTAACTCGAGTCAACATTGTCAACAGTGTACCTCTCAAATAATAAATAAACAATTGTGTTCAGATCAAACATTTGTGTTATTCAATACCAGTGTTAACCCACAAATACAAAAGTGGTGTCAGAAGTGGGATTATCACACTGGAAACTGTTTGTTATTGGGTGCCAGTGTTCGACGTGGAACAAAGACTCTCTGGGCATCGTGCACCCATCATAACCTCAAGTGATTTTTCTTCCCCGCCGGTTTCAAGTGCAAGTCTTGGTGTTGTCAAAAATTCCAAGTCAGAATGTCCGATCCACCACAAGTTTCACCGGAACTTTTGGAATCTATGGCCACCATGTTGTCTCAGGCACTTCGAGCTTCGTTACCAGGCGCGGCCGCCGCTGCAGGTCCCGAACTTGCCAACGCAGCCAACAATGGACATCTTCGTGCACCCCGTTTCAACATGGCTGAATACCGCCCAACAGAGGGCACCACCGTTCAGGACTACTTCACACGTTTCTCCTGGGCTCTGGAACTGAGTGAAATACCGGCCGAGCAGCACGCCAACTATGCCCGTGTTTACATGGGCAGAGATCTGAATGATGCGTTAAAGTTTTTGATTAGCCCTCGCCTACCTCAGGACCTGACGTACGCCGAAATCCAGCAAACCCTCATAAAACATTTTGATCACGCAAAAAACAAGTTCGCAGAGACTTATAAATTTCGTAAACTCACACAAAATCCGGGCGAATCAGTCGCAGACTTTGCTCTCAGGCTTAAACAAGGTGCAGTGTATTGTGAATTTGACGCTTTTTTGGACAGAATGCTCATCGAACAACTGTTGTTCGGACTTGAATCGCAAGTGACATGTGATAAGATCATCGCAAAAAAACCAGCATCTTTTGCGGAAGCGTTTGAAATCGCAAATTCTCTCGAAGCGACTCGTCTGACATCGGACACGGTGAAAAACAAGGTGGAACCAGCAAACAAGTTGGGATTTGCACCCCCAAAGCTGAAGTACACGAAACGTCTAAATCAAGGCAGACCCCATACACAACCCCAAGGAGTACACAAACCAACCGGATCGCCTTATCAACCGCGTCAAAGCCAGGATAAGCAGTGGGCCTGTCAGGGCTGCGGAGGTCAACATGCTCGTTCTCAGTGCCCGTACCGTGACGCCACCTGTCACGCCTGTAATAAGAAAGGTCACCTTGCTTCCGTTTGCAGATCTGGGAACATCAGACAAGTCAGAGAAAACTCAGACTCTGAAGAAGATTTTCCAGCCGAAGAAGTCGACCAGATGCGACGTCTCAACAAAATGGACGTTGTCAACTCTGTCAAATTTCCTGGGAAGGTGGTGCTTGATGTCCTTATCAACGGACGTAACGTCAAAATGGAAATTGACACCGGCGCGCCATGCGCAATCATGAGCAAACAAACGCTTGACAGTGCCAAAATCAAATACAAATTGCTGGAAACCAACCAACAATTTGCGAGCTTTTCTGGTCATCGAATTTCCTGCCTCGGTCGCGTATCTGTCAACGCTCAAATCGGATCCTCAGTTCGGAAGCTCGACCTTTATCTGGCGGATGGCATAGTCGACTCGCTTTTGGGCCGCGAGTGGATCGTCGCATTTGCAAACGAGATTAATTTCTCAACCTTTTTTGGAAATGCAGCATCAGTCCACGCCGTCAATCCGGTTTCTCCAAGGCCATCGTTGCAGCAACAGGCTCAATTGGACAGCATCCTGACACAGTTTGAAAGCTCGTTCGACGATAAACCTGGAAAACTCATAGGGCCTCCTGTCAAACTGCACTTTAAACCCGGATACAAACCCGTCTTTTCCAGAGCTCGAGATGTTCCCTACGCTTTGCGTGATGCATATGCACGCGAAATTGACGCCAAGCTGAATTCGGGCGTGTACAAACGGGTCGAATACTCGGAGTGGGCTTCGACGACACATGTGGTGGCAAAAAAGAACGGGAAATTACGTATCACTGGAAACTATAAACCTACACTAAATCCTCAGCTGATCGTAGACGAACATCCAATCCCACGAGTGGAGTGCATCTTTAGCAAAATGCGAGGCGCAAAGTGGTTCTGTCATCTTGACATCACGGATGCCTATACGCATCTCACAATCGACGACGAATGTGCTCACGCGATGACTCTCAACACGCCTACTCATGGCCTAATCCGACCGACACGCGCGGTCTACGGAGCAGCAAACATCCCTGCAGTGTGGCAACATCGAATGGAAGAAGTGCTGCGTGATCTGCCCTCGTTCGAGAACTTGCTCCGGGCCCTGTGTGCCGTGCTGGAAAGGATGCGTCATCATGGGCTGAAACTCAACAGAGCCAAATGTAAATTTGCAGAAACTACACTCCACTGCCTGGGTCACAAACTTGATGCACAGGGAATCCACAAATCCGACTGCCACATCGAAGCTATCCGCGATGCACCAAAGCCTTCAACACCGGAGGAACTGCAACTTTTTCTGGGAAAGGCTACGTATTACAGCGCATTCATCCCGGATTTGTCAACGCGAGATCGGCCTTTGCGTGACATGCTTCGTAGCGAACCGTTTACCTGGACTCCAGCTGGCGAAAAAGCATACGTCGACATCAAAGAAACTTTGGTATCACCCCAGGTTCTCATGCAATACGACCCCTCGCTACCGCTATTGCTGGCGACTGATGCCAGCAAAACCGGGTTGGGAGCTGTGCTGTCGCACCGCCTGAGCAACAATCAGGAACGACCAATCGCCTATGCAAGCCGAACGATGAGCGCCACAGAGCAACTATTTCGTTCTCATCACGGACCACAAACCGCTAACACAAATCCTGCATCCAGAAAAATCACTGCCGGTGCTGTGCATTAGTCGGATGGCAAACTACGCGGATTACTTGGCTCATTTTGACTTCGAGGTGGTTTTCAAAGACTCGAAGGCAAACGCCAACGCAGACTACTGTTCCAGGGCGCCGTTACCAACCACGGTCAACCAAGTTTGTCTTCAGTCATTGGTAGAGGGGGAAGGAGCAGGAACGGACGAGTTTGACCACTTTGTACTCCACCAAATCAAACAATTACCAATTCGAGCAGAAGCCATCGCCAGGGCAACGAGGAAAGATGAGCACCTTGGCAACATTCTGAAGCTTTTGGAATCAGGTCAAGACCTCCTTCGTCACGGCTTCAAGTCACCTGAAGCCAACTACACCACGGCCGCTAATTGTTTGTTGTTTGAACACAGAGTTGTGATTCCACCTTCACTCAGAAACGCCATTCTTCAGGATTTGCACGCCGCTCACATCGGAATCGTCAAAATGAAAGGGCTGGCCCGCTCGTTTGTTTTCTGGCCTGGCATCGATGCTGCAATTGAGCATGTCGCCAAATCTTGCACTGAATGTGCAAAGCATGCACACGCCCCCGTCCAATTCCGAGAGCACCACTGGGAGTACCCTACAGCTCCATGGCAGAGAATCCACATTGATTACGCCGGGCCAGTTGCTGGAAACATGTTGCTCATTATCGTGGACGCCTATAGCAAGTGGTTGGAAGTCAGAGTAACCAAGTCCACGACATCAGCTGCTACGAGCCGAATCCTCGACAACCTTTTTGCAACGTTTGGGGCACCAGTCATCCTGGTTTCGGACAATGCTCCTCAATTTACATCCGCAGAGTTCAAAAACTTTTTGATGATGTCTGGCGTGAAGTACCATAAGCTCACAGCTCCTTACCATCCCTCGACAAACGGTCAAGCTGAAAGATGCGTACAGACGGTCAAGGACGCCCTGCGCGCGATGTCAACAACCGAGAGCACTCTTCAAAGCAACATCAACGAGTTCCTGCGACAATATCGGAAAGCTCCTCACGCTACCACCGGTGCATCCCCTGCTCAGCTTTTCATTGGGCGTGATCTGCGCACAAGACTCAACCTTGTTCTCCCAGATGATTTACACACCAAGATTTCTGAGAAACAGAAGGCCAGTTTTGATGCAACCTACCGTAAATTTCATCAAGGAGACTTGGTGTATTTTCTCTCAGAAAATCCGCGCATGGACAAATGGATTGTTGGAGAAGTCGTGTCCTGCTTGGGAGATTTGCACTACGAAATTGAATTTCACGGCAAACGGTTCAAAAGGCACATTGATCAGATTCGCAGTCATGAGCATTCACCAGATCGGGGAAACACAATGGGAGCAGCAGAACCTGATCGTGTCGTTGGCGACGGAATTAATTGCGGTGCACCACGCAGGACACGTTTCTACGGCCAAGCCCAAGCTCAGTCAGAGCAGCCACAAACATCAAGACGAACTCCAGCACTTCCGGCTACACCTGTAGCATCTCCGGTTCCTGCGATCCCTGCACCCGCAATGCCGTCCACCCCAAGGATTCCACGCAGATCTCAACGAGAGCGCCGTGCTCCACTTCGGTTCTCTCCGGAGTGACGTAAAGTGTAGAAAAGAAGAGACAAGATGGGAAGGTGTTTTTCTTTGCTCAAAATTTAAAATAGAACGTTCTTTTTATTTTTTATTTATTTCATTTCATTTTATTTTTTTCTTTTAATAATCCAAGTTTTAATAGTTAATTAAAGAAGGGAGGAAATGTTGTGTATTGATCTTAAGGTTGCAAGTTGGCAACAGAGCCATCTGGCTGAGTGAATCAGGAATAGTCAGTCTTTGTCCGATCTAACTCGAGTCAACATTGTCAACAGTGTACCTCTCAAATAATAAATAAACAATTGTGTTCAGATCAAACATTTGTGTTATTCAATACCAGTGTTAACCCACAAATACAAAAATCAGGTTCATAGGAGATATCGGTATCAAAAGATTGGACGAGTAAGTAGGCGTTTCCGTATTCGTCGTAAACATACGGGTCTTGTTCAACATTTGTCAATTCTTCAACTAGGAAATTAGGTCGTTGCTGGTTTTGAAAATTGTTAGATCTTTGATTTCGAAGATTATTTGGTCGTCTAAATTGGGAAACAGTTCTCATGGAAACGTCGCCAGTGTTTGAATGTCAGATAAGTATTTTGATGTGTATTCCTCTGTTGTTGTTGGAATGCAGGGTGAGGCTTAGGCACAATGAAAGGTTTGAAGGGAGTATTTATTTTTTTTAATAAAGGAAATTGTTGTCTAGGAATCTGTTGAAAGGTTTGAGGGTTGGTGAAAGGTAATCTTTGCATTAAACTGAAATTTTGTCGAGATGCAAAGTAATTTGTCTGTGGATGTTGTTTTTGTGTAGGAGTGTTATATGGGTGTGGCTTTTTGGAAGTATCTGCCATTTGCCTATAAATCTCTAATTTCTTATTTTCATTGTCTAACTCTTTACAGTAATTAAGTGCTTCAGATAAACAAAGAGGTCGTCTTATTTTTAGATCTCAATAATACGGCTCACCTACTGATAATTTAAAAATATTAAGCGCCTCTTTCTTATAGCGACTCATTAATGCATTCTGGAAACGATGACCTCCAAAAACACCTGCTAATTTTGTTAAAATTACTTGAATTTTGTCGTAAAAATCCTCTACAGTTTCGTTAGGTTTCCTAACACATGAAATTAATTAAAAATCAATTAAATAGCAAATCTTCATTTTCTGGTGATTTGAATTTTGTTGTGATTAGAGCCTTTAGAGTAGACCAATCACTTGGCCTTTCTACTAAATATGCAGATTCTGCTCTACCGGTTAGTTTACTAACAATGTGTAGAAAAAATTTCTATAGGCTGGAGTTGTGGTAGAGATATTAGCGTCAAAATTATCACAATCCGAAATAAACCTATCTACTTTTTCTGGAGAACCATCAAAGGTAGCGATGATTTCATCAAAAGCTTTGATTAATTTTAAAAATTCGTCGAGATGCCATGCCGTGCAATAATTAAAATGGAAAAGGGGAAAACAATATAAAAACAGGAGATACAGCAATTGTACTCAATTTTTAAAATCCTCCCAATACTCCTGATCCTTTAGTAGAATGTTTCGTCAGGAATTGTCCAGTCAAAGGTGAAGGACTCCTCAGGTGATGAAATGGTGTTCTAGGGGTCGGAGGTCTTTTCCAGGTGTGTTGGTTCCTTATGTGGATAGAGACGTAGCAGAAGTTGAAATTCTGAGGTGTTTGGGATGAAATTCGTTGATTTTCACATTCTCTATCCTGTTCCGGGCAGCGCCAGTTAAATCGTACGATGTTCGAGAGGAAGTTTTAAAACACACTTGTTTTAACAAATTTATTTGGTTCGGTTTTCAGAAACCGTTCTTACACTTTATTTTAATTACTACACACTAGAGATGGCAAATGAACAACCAACATAGGTTTTTTTTGTTTAGAAATGTATGAACTTATAAATAAAAAAAGGTGTCATGGCCGATGGCGTGCTCCATATAAGGGCAAAGGTCGCTAGATGTAACTGTACAGTATTAAATACAAATGCGTACTTTACACATAAAATAAGAATGATAGGACAGGGAAAACATGACTTACTGTTAACCATTAATTTTTTCTTTTTTGTTACAGGAACAACATTGCCTTAATCTCGGAAGAAATTGCTATCATGCTACCATCGACAAACACCGGGAGACTTGGAAAGCGAAATTCACCCTTATATCGTTCCGTCGTGTGTACGTGCGTTTTTTGCTATCTGTGACCAGCAAACACTAACGCTGGGAACTTTATTTTTGCTTTACACTGTTTTGCACTTGATCCGTTTCGATGGACCACTTTGGACGATAGAATGGAATGTATTTTTTAATTATCTTTATTTAATTATTAACTGTAAAACAATAGAATAATTAAACTCTGTCAATAAACGTTGTGGTTCCTTAGTTGTTAGCAGCCATCTACCCTTCCTTTGCGTGGCGTTGCCCTTAATTCACACGCGCAGTTGCCGCGTTGCTTTAGTTCACACGCGCCATTGCCACGTGTGGTAAAGCAATCGTAACACCAACTACCTTCACAATGCACAATCAGCCTGTGACGCTACAGTCGTCTTCTAAAACATAACGACTAAGTTTAATATTGGCTTTACTTATTAGATCATAAAAAATTGACTCATAAAAACTTTTTAATAAGTCGTAACTGATTATAGTTACTTCCGCTGTCAATTAAACACTTTATACCATTTATATACGCAATACTTTACGCCCACTTTAATCTTTTAAAACAACTGTTTTATTGCGATCCTAAATGAAACCAAAGTCGTTTATAACCTGACACTAGACTATTTTACCTGTACATATTCTTTTGTTTGTAACATCCAATATTGCATCATTATGTTTACATTTCAAATCATAAACTTCCATTTTTTTGTTGACCACAAAGATACTGAATGTTCCAAATTTCTTTTTCTAAATTATCTAACCACAAATATGTTATTTTTTAATTAATTGAAATGTACCTCCACCATAAATTATTTCGAACTATTTTTTTTTGCCATTTTTTTTGTCAGCTCATCATATGTAAAATTTTATTTCCTTTCATCTAATACAAGGTTGCTGCTATTTACGGCTAACACTGTTTGAGAAAATTAAATCTTTTAACCTTTTTAACCTTTTTTATAATGTCAATTTATACAAGAATACCAAGTGAAGAATAGCCCGAATCTTCATTGTACTAATACCAAGTGGGTACATCCTGATAATCGATTCGCTTTCACCAACCGTTGTTTCCTTGAGTGCTGAATAACGTTTCGTTTTGTACGCTCTTTGAAACAAGAAGAAAAAATAGATATGGTTTTTGTCGTTGGGGAATGCGAGTGGAATCCTCTCATGACATTGAAACGATATCCAAGTTTAAAACAATACTTCAGTGTTCCGAGGTAAGATACTATTGTAATATTCGTAGGTTTAATAAAATTAACTTCTAAGGCTGACTAACGACAAAAACTATTTATTTACACTAATTATTAAAGAACTTAAAAACACTATTAATTATTACTAGACAGAGGTTAAGAATTATTCTATTTATTTACACTACTGTTGATATATCACTATTCACTGCCCTATTCATATCACTGCTAACACTGTCAATTTATTTCTGGATTCACTTCTACAACGGTCAATTTATTTCTACTCCACTCGGCGATCGTCTCTTCCTTTAATTACTCTTTTGTTTACTTTCTGCAATCTTCTGGAAACATCCGGATAGTTTATTTTTTCTTTGAACTATTTAACTGCTTTCCTAGAACACAGGTACGTACGACACACACATTTACAAATACGGCGCACATTAAGAAAAGCGCACGCGGCTAGTCGGCGAATCGATAAGCCGTTCACGCACACGTGAGCCCGATCGCACACAAACGCACTCGTGCTCGCTACAATATTCACAAAAATTTGATGTGAGTAGCTTTGCTGATTGTACTGTAATTAAATTGTCGTTGAAAGTGTATAAAATTGAAAATGGATACAAACAAACCGTTTGCTTAAGTTTTACTTCTCGATGATAAAAAAGAAAAGTATTGATATAGTGCCATCGAAATAAAGTGAACTAAGATCTTTTACCAATCTTTTTAATGATGGTTACTTACCGAATTGGATTGATTTAGTTGTTACTGTATTTGACTTATGCTCAATGTATCTAGTAGTAATGACTCTGTCAGAGTCAATTATAGTGTAGAAAGGCTGCAGATACTGCACTGTCATTTGAGGTAGTATCCAAACAAAGATCGATGATTTAATTTTTGTCAAAGCAAGACAAATTGGTAACCAGGTGACTGTTATATTTAATAATATTTAAATATTTAATAATGTTAGAAATGACATCTACGACGCTACAAATAGTGTAATTTATTTTCGATTTAAAATTAACAAAACTTTTAAAAATAAATAGATTAGTACTGACAAATTCTTTAAATAGATAAAAAATAAGGTATATTTATATTTAAAAAGAAAGGCACTACGATCAAATACTTCTATTTTAAATTAAGATTGTCTACAAGTAGAATTTCTTTGAAGGATCTTTAGCCATGTCTATTAGGGTTTGGGCAGGTTTGAAAGGCGCCCCGTATAAATCAAAGTATGTCTCCATTTTCGAAATTAATTTTCCCGCTCCATAAGAATCAATCCATCGGAACGGTCCACCAGTAAATGGCGGAAAACCTAGACCGAACACTGCTCCAATATCGCCTTCAACTGGGCTAGCTAGAATCTTTTCTTCTAGGCATAAAACCGCTTCATTTACAAATCTCGTTACCATTCGTAACTGAATGTCTTCATCTGACATAGCACCCTTGGATTCTAACGCAAAACGTTTAACAACTTCCATAGCGTCTGCATTAACTTCACGGCTTTTTCTTCCCTTTTCGTAAATGAATAATCCCTTGCCAGATTTTCTTCCCAAGAAACCTGACTCCACAAATGCTGGCAATAACTTTGGATCGCCACCAGAAATTCTATTTCCAAACTCCTAAAATTAAAAAAGAAATCATCATCATCCATTTTTTTTATCTGTTTATGGTAAGACATCCGTACTTTCGTATGATGGTCTTTTTGAAAACTTTTTATTGGATGTTATGTTAGGGTAAAGATAGGTTAATTTTTAGTCTAACATACTTTATATTAAACATTAATGTGGAAATTCATTTTATATTTATCCACTATCAAATACCTCCTTAACTGAAGGAGGTAAATTTAAAAGTATCTTTAGATAAATCCGAATTTTTAAAAAAGTTCTCTTTTGAGAACACGTATTTACGACTGAAGGAATAAAACCAAATCCCGACAGAATTGCTTCTATCAATAAATTTTCCGTGCCACAGACAGTAAAAGAACTGAATTCATTTTTAGCATAAAGTGGCTACTATCGTAGATTTATAAAAAATTACTCTAAAATTGTAATTCACACGCGATGCTTAAAGAAAATCACGTCAAATAATGTTAAAGATCCTTTATATTAAGAATTAATCACAAACGCCCCAGTCTAAGCATATCCCGATTTCCACAAACATTTTCTCATTAATTGTCGCTAGCGATAAACCGATGGGTTCTATGATTTTCCTATCGCATTCTATTCTCGCACCCCTAATTCGGCTGAAAGATACTACAGTACTACAAAAAAAAAACAATTATTGGCTTTAGTACTCATGCCAATATTTTAGATCTTACATTTATGGTAGAAAATTTACTTACAGATGACAAGCCTTTATTATGGTTGCAAAACCTTGAAGAACCTAATAGTCAATTAGAACATTGAAAAATTAATCTTTCGGAATACAATTTTGAAATTAAACACATCAAAAGAAAAAGAAAATTAAGTAGTAGATGCAACTTCGCGAGCAGAGATAAATGCATTTGAAGAAAACGATTTTGACATTGTTTCCTTTTTATTTTCTTTTAGGTATTGGTTCATAATGAATTGTTTTGATTTCCTGTTTTGTGTTTGAAATACTTTTTATCGATTTTATCTGATCGCTTGAAGCGATTGTGAGTTCGAACACCTGAATATGCACATGTGAGAACGTGCTTTCTCATCACTGGCAGTCGGGGTCAGATGTTCAATAGCTTTATACTCTGATTGGAAGAAGGGTCAGTGCGAGTGGTAGTAATAAATATTAACCACCCGTTTAGGAAGGGTAGAGAAAACGTTGTTGTAACGTTAAGACATTTTTAATACCCATTTGTAAAATAACTGTACCTATTTGTGTAATCTTGACAAAAGTTTTTAATTAGTGTTTAATTAAATATTCGTGAAAGCGACAAAGCAGCGGAGGTTTCGATTAAATTGATTATTGCAAGCCACATGATGCCTAAGGAATGCTACATGTCATTTATCCAAAAAAACCTGCTCTTGCACCCATTTTATCTTCACCTATTACTGCATTGAAGTCTCATACAACTATTAGGTTTTCCTGCCCTTCCACTACACCTAACACGTCTTCTATATCTACATAAACCGCTTCTACGTCTTTATCACTGTAAGATGATGTAGGCATGTAGAGCTAATACCTTTTTTACCAGATTCCAGTTTAATTTCTATCTCATCACTATCCTATCGCTTTTTTGTAGATAACTTTCTACACTCTGCCCTACTTTTCTACGCATTAGAATTCCTACCCTCGAATTACTATATCTAATCCTAATCTATTCATCTCAACTTTTAAATTTTCCAATTTCCCTGCTTGCCTCTTTTTCCTAAACATTCCACGCTCCGACTCGTGAAATATACCTATTGCACCTATTGATGACATCCCTCAAAGGCAGTCCCCGCCCGGACATCCAAATGGGGGACTAGTTAACATCCGCAGTGCTTTACCCCAGAGGATACCATCATTTTGTTTCAATGAGTTTTATTTGGGATATCATAATGTGGTGGTTTCCCGTTGCCTTCCACATCGCAGTATTCTGCATCAGAGTGCCATACTGATCTTCGTGATCTCTGCTACCCGGCGTACTAAAATAGCTGCTGCCCTCTTTCAGGGACTTGTGTTAGTCTGGTTTCTCTTTAAGAACCCCCCCCCCCATTATGGTTGAACCTACGGTACGGCTCCCTAAATCAGCGAAACTCGCAAGCCGATCCACCCACTCTAGTTTGTACAAGTTTCGTCAAGGTTCAAGTCCCGTCAGATCAGAATTTCCCACCTACGCGTATCAGACTATTTGAGTCAAAAAATGGATTTAAACATAAAAATTTACTAGACGATCCGAGTTCGCGGCCCTTCCATAAATCATATTCTTCAGGAAAGGACTCGTTTTGAGAAAAAATGATTAAACGGATAAAGCATCAAGCTCGATTACTGATAAATTAGAAAGGTTTCGAATATCCGCCTTACTACGACAAATGTGAAGAAAACTTAATTTGTGGGCTATTGAACGCTTTAAGCGATTTATTTTTAAAAATCTTTTGAATGGAAAGGAAAACGATACGCTTCTCCGGATGTTCGCATAATGTAACGTTCAAGGAAAGTCAACCGTTTGAGTCAGAAATTAACCATTTGGGGCCATAAAACAATAAGTCAGACGTAAGTAGTTTTTTAGAATTGATTCCTCTAGACACAATGTCCGCGGGGTTGTCAGAAGTGGGAGCGTGGTGTCATCCAAACGTTTCGGTCAACGACTGAACCTCCGAAACACGAGGGGAAGCAGTAATCCCTTTAGCTACCTCACTGCATGTCTGATATCAATTAACTTTTTCTAATGTGATAGTGTGAACTAAAAAAACTAGAAGCATTTAAATGGTTGCCAGAATCGGTTCACTCTAACGTTAGCGTTGCTTTTAATATTTTTGGGCGTTTACTAGCTTTTAAAAATCAGTTAAATAAATATAAAAAAATTAAATCAATCAAAAGATAACATTTATTGGAAATATATAAATAACATTAACTCGGTAACGGTTGATTACTTACTTTTTCTAAAAATACAGCAATGTGGGTCCCTACATCGACACCTACTTCATCTAGCAAAGTGGCAGCTCCAACTGGAAATCCAAACTTTTTCGTTAACGTGTCAATTTTTTTTGGATCATGTCCCTCTTGTAGTATCCGGACCATTTCACTCATCATAGTTGACAAAATACGTGTAGTATAAAAACCAGGACCATCTCCAACAGTAATAACAACTTTGCCTTGTTTCAAACCTACTGCAACCGCAGCGGCCGCTGTTTCCTTAGTGGTCTTGTCAGTGGTAATTATTTCAAGAAGTTGCATTTTGTCAACGGGAGAAAAATAATGCATTCCTTAAAAACAAGTGACGTGTTTTTCACCTATTCATCAAATTATTACGAAGATAAATGTGAGAAAATTTGTAATTTAGATGTAATTTAAAAAATTTGTAATCAGGTATTTCCAAAAAAGTAATTTGATATTTTAAAAAAAATATGATCAGCTGATCAGTTATTTCTAGTTTAATTGGGCAATTAGTTTGTGAAACTTCACGTTATATTGCAAATACATCGATGTATTTCATCACCTGATTAACAAATATTGTAACCATTGCTAACTAAACTCATTGCTACTTACACTTAGTATTTTCTTCAAATTATCTCTACTAACAATTCCAAAAAATTATATTTCTTAAACTTTATGTATGATCAACTATTTTTATATATGTATGTACCTACTAGATATTCCGGAAATTATTGTTAAAGTCGTTATTTGAAATGGAATACTATGCATTTTTTTTACATTGCAAAAGTTTTATCTTACCTATTACATTATCAGGTCTTGATGATCCTTGAGCAATTTTGGTTATCGGTAATGAACTAGTGTTCGATGCAATAATACAATTAGATGGAACAGCTGCTTCTATTTCTTTAATAACCTTATGTTTAATTGCAATATCCTCGAAAACAGCTTCAATCACAAGATCAACATTTTTAAAGTCTTTGTAGTCTAATGTAGGATTTAAATTAGCTAAAATTTTGTCCTTTTCGTAACTGAAACATCATAAAAATCTTATTCGTACATATGTGCCTACATTATTTTGATATATATACATATATAGATGTTTTATAAAAAATATCTATTAATAAATATTGCGTTCACATTAACCAGAGAACATTATTATATCGCTGCAAGCCTGACAATCATGTTTATATGAACTTTAATTAAATTGATTAGTTTTAGTTCTTGTTCTCCCTTCTGCTCTTCTACGACATAGCAACCGCTCACTTCTTGTCTTCCCAACAAATGTAAATTATTCATAATAATAATTTAGATAGATAGGATGTACATGAAAGCAACTGATTAGTAAGCTTAATAAAAACAATTTATGAATTTTAGAGGCACTGAAATAAACATCTGAAATCGCAAAATCTTGGGGTTATGCTTATACATTTTTTGTTTGCTAGACCAAGTACCTACAATAACTTGATACATTATTCAGAGTTGGCTGTTGTGGACCCACAGTCTATTTAAAGAGCATTCTTTTTTTTTTTTTTAATTATAACTTGCGTAATTTGTGATAGTATTAAAGATGTATTATAGTTATGAATCTATTAATCTAAAAATTTTAGATTACCTGGTCAATCTCTTTCGCTTCACATAATTTTCGTAACCACTCTGAATTTGATTTATTCCTCTACTTAGTCCACTTTTACTGGTATCTTTCAGCACAACAGTATAGCCCTTGTCTATCGAAACATGGGCAATTCCAGATCCCATTAGTCCGGCACCAACAACAGCTAATGTTTTAGGAGGCACTTTGGGTTCTCCAAAACGATTTTTTTTACATTCAGTCTGTCCTCTAAATAAACCAATCAGGCCTTTAGATTGTGGTGTCATTGCCAATGTTCCAAAAGCGTGAGCTTCAGCTTCTAAACCTCCTCTTTGACCTTTATCTAAACCAGTTCTGACAACTTCTAAAATCTACAAAAAATTGTTTTTCTATTGCAGATGGTGTTCTAAAAAAATTAGTGAGTATACCTATATCCACATACTTCATAGTTGTGTAACAAGTGAAAAATTTAAATAATTACTTGTGTTATGTACAATAGTCTTTTTTTAGTTCAGTATTGATTTATTTATTTCTTGGTCACTTAGATTGTAGTAAACTGTCCATAAACAATTACAAATCGGATAAAAAAATAGAAAAAGATGAATCGAACAATGTACAGCAGAATCGCAATAGTGCTAACCAAAAAATACTACCATTGTTGATGCTATTTAAAAGTACCTACGAATCTATACTCAAGAATCAACACAATAAACATACATAGAAATATAAAACAGTAATACACTCACCATTTTCGAGAAAAACGTAGTACAGTCAAATGTAATTCCAGCCCTGGTAAAGAAATACGACAACGCAACGTCACATTCAATCAGTTGACAGTTTGCAGCATCAGTGTTATATTTCTTTTATATTTTTTTGTTCATGTATTGATTGCTATTTATTAAATTAGATTAAATGCCATTTAAGATGTTTATATTACAACATAAACAATTACAGTAGGTCAGTATTTCACTATAGAACAGTTGTTGTTTCGGTGTTGACTACACATTGGCCAACCAAGCTAACAAACTTATATTATAACGATAAAGTTGATAATTTTTATAGCATAGTTAACAAGGTGATTTGCACCCATAAATAGTTTGCCGAATGATTACCCGTCATGATTTAATAAGGATCTTATAGGTAAAATTAAAAAAAAAAAGGGACATAGGTGGAAATTATTTTATGATGAGAATGATTATATTAAATTTAAACGACATAGAGCGGTTTGTATAAATGTTAGAAACGAATGTCGTAACAAGTGGGTTGTCAATGTAGAAAAATCAATCAAGTCGAGTATTAAACCCTTCTGATTTTATATTAATGAATTTAAAATAATTCAAAGAAATCCTTAATTCATTATTATCTTATAAAGGGATAACTGCGAATAAATTAATTCAATGGACATGATCTACGGGCCCGGTCCGGATGGTATGCTTCACGCCCATTCAGTAAATTTTTTGACTTTCTATCAAGTCTGGTGTATTCCCTAAACCGTGGAAATCTGGTTATTTTACCTCTACTTTCAAAAAGTATGATCCTTATAATGGCCACCCTCAATATTCGTGGCCAAAGTGTCTGTAAGCAACACCCTCATATGAAAAACATTGGGCTATACAGTACTTTTCTTTCAAAACCACCGACATAAATCCACTGGCGGCTGAAAATCAGTTTCAAGCAAGAATTACACTCGCTGCAAATGATAAGGATGCAGCAACTACTCCTTTAAAATTTACCACAATATCACATGAGAAGAGCCAACGTTCTCTACTATTTCATGTGAACTATTTTGGGGGTTGTCTTCTTTGACATCGAGGATTTCGTCGCTACAACTGCGATATGGTTCAAACCCGTAAATACGTATAAAATCACATTATCGTTTCAACAACTGTTCTACAGTGACTAATCTGCACTACTGATTGATGCTGTATTGTTGAATTAGTTTATTGAACTTCATATCGATTGTCTCATACAAGGTTTAAACGTTAAAAGAATAAACAGCTACTAGAATTTGGCTGTTAACATAAACATGCTGAATCACACTTAATCTAATTTAACAAATTAACAATGCATAAGCAATAAAATACAAAATAAATAATATACTGAGTGCAGCGTTGCGAGCCGCATTTCTCTACCAGGATCAGATTTGAATTTACCTGTACCTTCAACTATTTTGTTCCCGAAAACGATATACTATCGGACACTCAAAGATTCACTTAATTTTTATGATTTATAGTACTCCATAGCCTTCTGTCAGCTCGGAGATTATTTATGTTACAGCCTGTATAGGCCAGACATCAGCTCTTAAAGTAAAACGAATATTCATTCTTAAAGGTGAAAGATATTGTAAAAACACCTAGCATAATAGGTAATGAATTTTTGAAATATGAACTTCAACACCTACATACCTAGTCAAATACAAGTAGTATCCAAGCCGTTACATACCATTAAATACCATATGGAGTAGAACTGATGAGTCGCTTTTTAACAATTTAGCTGATTATAATAGGTCTGAAGTCTGAACAATTTAAAATTTTTACTGAACTGGACTGAAAAATATTATTTTTTTTTAAGTAAATGTTAATCTCAATCATCATCACCATAAGGTCGTCAGTCCTATGACTAGCTGGATACGCACCGCATTCCTATCCTGAGCTAATCTTCGCATTTTCCTAAAACTAGAACATCCCACATCCTTAACTATTTGCGAACAGTAATCTATTCTAGGTCTACCTGTACTCCTTTTAACTCTTGTTTCTGCCTTTAATATCTCTCTGACTAGACCTTCATGCCTGAGGTGTCCTACCAACCTATCTCGCCTATTCCTTATTGACTTCCATAGTCATCTGTTCTCCTATTCTATCTAATACCTCTTTATTTCTAACCTTCTCTATCCATAATGTCCTCATTATTCGCCTATAACACCACATTTCGAAAGTTTCTAACCTTTTCCACAGCGCTCACCGTCCATGTTTCGCACCCGTACAGCGCCGCGCTCCAAACACACATCTGTAACAATCTTTTTCGAATTAACCTCAATGAAGACACAAACTCTGGAGGTGTAACACAAACTATAATAATTTTCTTATTCAAGTCAATAACTGGAAACTCAATTCGAATTATACTATCTACTTTTAGTTTAGAATGATAACAAGCATCTGAGTTCTATCATCAAGCTTTGAAAAAGATATCTCACCATTCATTTTTGGTTTAATGCAGTTTCTCGAAAATATGTAACTGAAAATCATTCTACTTGCATATCAAAAAAAAAAAAATATTTAAACCAGGAGATGATCAACTTAATTTTCGATGGCACATATATTCGTCATGGTAAAAGTAGCAATAACGAATGCCAGCGTATTAGGGTCGAAAAAAGCATAGCAGGGAATTCGCAGTAGTTATTTCGTAAACAGGGCTAGTTTGTACGAAACCGGTTTAAATATTTCATTTGCGCATCTTGCTCGATTATCCAACGTCCATCGTGGTTAAGTAATACTATTAAATTGTTTGCTTATTTTAAACGTTTTTATAGCAGTTCATTATTTGGTACACACCTATGTTGTCAATCTACGCACAGTACCAGTTTCGTATTGTAAATCGTTGTGATTTTCTTAAAAAACTGTTTGGCTTTAAAGACACTGCTGAAATAACCATGCGATTGCATGTAGTTCATTCCCCCCACCCCCAAAGCTCCCTACTTATTTTTATTACAATCTGTATTTAAAGCTATAGCTCTATCCAGTGAAACTATACCTAACGATTCAGTATTTTCAAAACGCGTACAACAACAACTAAGAACGAACTATGTACCTATCTAAAATGAGTACACGAATAAAACATGTATCCACTTAATTCAGCTAAATGTATCAGTAATAACCCAAACAAAAGACAAATTATCGATTTGGAAGGTAACTGAATGTTTCTCTCTATTAAAGAAAATTAATTTCTTCAAATATACAGCAGTCTAGTATATATGCTGGTGACATAAACCAGAGTTTCCATAATGTGCAGTTCACACTATTAAGATTCTACTGTATTATTGTATTATTTTATTCTCATGTTATTTTACATAGCACTCAAAATCTTCGATACAAAAATAAAATAAAAGTTGAATAATTACTGACCCTCTTATGCTAAGGAGCGGCTTAAAGCTGAAGAATGACTATAGGTAATTATCAGGTGTTCCAAACCTTACATTACAGCTAATCCCTTAGTATTTCGGGAGCATGTGTATATTCTATGCATCCAATTCGGACGGGTTCGGTCTATCAAAAATCAAATGTATCCATACAATTTGCTTACAAATGAGGACTCAACTAGCCAGAGAGGGGTAAAGGTGGCCGTCAAAAGGTTGAAAAATTGGGAAAAAAATCGTCACCTGAAATCATTTTAGGCAACATGAAACTTTTATGAGAAAAATATTATGAAATATGTATAATGAACATTGAGCATTGTCAGCTGCGAGGAAAGTAAGGGATTAATTGTCATCTGATGGTCCAAACACCAAAAAACATCCAAACCATATTGGGCAGTTCGAAATTTGGACAGATGCTAATGTTTGTAATGAGATTAACGAACAAAATTGTCAACTCAGTACCTTTATCGCACTATTTTGACAACTTTTCCACCTACGTTCATGCAGCTGACAATTTTTTTCGTAAATCCTATTATAAATATTAACATCTGTTCAAATTTCAAACTGTCTATTATTTCTTTGACTATTTGTACCATCAGTTAACAATTAATCCTCATTCCTCGCTCAGTTGGCAATGTTCAATGTTTGTCATTTATCATATTTTTCGTGTTGCGTGAAATGACATCAGGATACGATTTTATTCCTGTGATTTCAACTCTATAGCTCTATGATAGAACAAACTAGTCTGAAGTAGTTGCAAACGTACACGGGCTCCCGGGTTAGAGGTAATTAATTAAAACAGGAGGAATAGAGTCAACAAGACTGTTTCGAATGGTATCAATGAATGCATTTGATTACACATTTAAATTATGTTGGGAAAAACAACGATTTTTATAAATGAACCTATTTAATTCTAATAAACACAACTATATTTCATACTTTCTATTTTTATTACATTTTCAAACGAAAAAGGAATACATATGAGTGATGTTGTGTTACTCAATTAAGGAAAGAATCTTACATAGCTTCAGCAAAAGCAACATTCTGCGAATACGATAAAATATCTATTTAATGTTTAAGCCATAACCTTTCCGACTTCTTTTTAACACAAAAATACCATTGATGTTCTCGCGAACTTAAGTGAAGGTTGTAGGGAGCAAAAAGTTTTCATGAAATGTTGAAATTGGTGTATCAGCGCGTTTAGAATTATATACGGATTCATATTCATAATTCAAAACA